AATACTACTGGCCTTTTACACAGAAAAGGTGCCAACACCTTTCATAGAGCATGCCTTTTGCATACCATCTCACTTAATCAGCATAGCACCACCATGAAATAGAAATTATTCTTCCCATTTGACAGATGTGAGGTGGTGAAGTCTAATGGATAAAGATTTGATGTGGAGTCAGACAGACCTGCACTGTGCTTTTTACTAGTTGTCTCACTTTGGGTTTATTACTTAAATTGTCCGACCTCAGTTTCTCCGTGAGTAAATTGGGGCCAACACCAATTTGGTAAGGCCAATGTCAGGAGTAGCTGTGCCAATTAGTGCGATGCTTTGTCTGTCATAAGCATCTAACACTCATTTGCTATGTGAGAGAAGCTTTCAGTATCCCTGGGGTGTTTTTCTTCCTAGAGATACTGTCCATTAATAAAACACTAATGATGCCCATCATATGGTTGGTTATGAATTAATTTGAAGGATCCCAAAATAGTTTGCACCACTGCTCTGTGTTACATAAGGCACCTTTTCCTCGGTCTCTCATGAATCAAGCCAAAGGAAAAGATAATAATGATGTTTCTAGCTCTGCACTCCATTTCCCAAGAGAAAATTGAAGGTGCCCTAACAGGATGAACTTTCCTACAAGCAAGCCCATTGGATCGACATTCCCACAGTGCCATCTGCCCAGAAGAAGGAACTGCTTCAAAGACAACATTACAGCAGAGCCAAACCTTATTTATATTGCTTGCAAATGTCAGGCAGTTACAGGGCCATGGTGAATAAAGGCAGGGAAATCAGAGGCCAAAATTTCAGCGGAAAGGCAGCTCTGACTAGATGATGAGCTGGTTCAGGAATTTTAGTCAGGATGCATTCATAGTGCCTGTAAATAGATATATGCACCATGCATCCACCATACACATGTTTAAAATGTCTTATAATTCTTGACTTTTGGTCAGCATCCAGAAGGAGCAGAGCAGGTAAAAGGAGGACACAGCCTTCGTATTCCTTGAGCTCAGGTAACTCCCATTGGCTAGGACCAGTCCATTTCTGGCCATCTTGATCCTATTATGTCGTGGGGCTCCTGGCCAACTGGGTGAAAATGACTAGTGTAGAATTAAAAGCTTGAGGCAAGTTTTAAAGCAGCAATCAAAAGTTGGAAAAGTAGGCTTAATTATCTATTATTTCATTTCCTCTAAAACATGGTAAAATGAGCTTTCAGATGGGTGTATCTCTTTTGGAGGTCTGATTATAAACGGATGCAATTAATTTGGTGTGTGTGTGTGTGTGTGTGTGTGTGTGTGTGTGTGTGTGTGTGTGTTTAATGTCTACATTCAAAATAATAATGTTTCCTTGAGAGAAAATATTTAGAGTCTATTCATTCTTTCATTATGGCGTTGATCTCCAAGTCAGTGGAAGGTTCTTTTGAATGCCTCCAGTGGTGGCCAGACTTCCCTCTTTGAGGATGGGGGTTCCTCTTTGAAAATGGCAGCCAGCTCCAGATCTTGTAAATAAAGTGGGTAATTAAGCATGGTGAGACATGGTGGGTCAAAAATAAAACTTGGAGAAAAGCAAATAATTCAATTAAAAAATAAGCAAAGAATCTGAATAGATGTTTTTCCAAAGAACATATACAAATGGTCAATGAGCACATGAAAATGTGCACAATATCGTTAGCCATCAGGGAAATGCAAATCAAAACCACAATGAGATACCACTTCACACACATCAGAATGGTTATAATAAAAAAGACAATAACAAATGTTGGCAAAGATGTAGAGAAATTGGAACCCTCATGCATTGCTTATGAAAACGTAAAATGATACAGCTGCTTTGGAAAACAGTCTGGCAGCCCCTTAAATGGTTACATATGGAGTTATCATATGACTCAACAATTCTACTCCTAGGAATATACCCAAGAGAAATGAAAACAGGTTCACACAAAGCTTGAGCCCAAATGTTGAAAATAGAATTTTTGATAATAGCCAAGATTCAGAGCAAAACAAATGTCCACCAATTAATGTATAAATTGATAAACAAAATATTACATTCTTGCAATGGAATATGATTTGGAAATAAACAGAGATAAAATATTGGCACTTGCTTACAACATGGATGAACCTGAAAAACATTATCCTAAGTGAAAGTAGCCAATCACCAATGACCACATATTGAATAATTCCATTTAAAAAAATGTACAGAATAGGCAAATAGGCAGAAAGTAGATTAGGAGTCAAGGTTTGGTGGCTGGGGGGCGGGTGTTGGGAGAACATGCAGAGTGACTTTTAATGGGTAATTTTTCTCTCTCTTTTTCTTAAAATGAAGTAACATTGATTTATTACATTATATGTTTCAGGTATACAACATTATAATCAAATATCTGTATATTCTTTAGCATGTTCACCAAGAGTCCAGTTTCCATACTTCTATAGCAAACCTAGACCCAAAATATCTTAAGGAATCCCAGCTGTCTTTAGAACTTCTTTTATCAGTCAACAAAATAAAATAAAACAAAACCAATTTTTTTTTGTTTTACATTAAAAAAAACAAACAAAAAACAAAACCAAACACACCATCTTTTTAATAAGGCTATAAATTTTCTAAAGGCTGCCTAACATAAAATGAGTTTGAACATTAACATGTAAAGGACAGGCAATAAAAACAGTATTATGAGTGCAGACAAAATATCCAAGAGCTGGAGAATGTGACCTCTTCTAAGGGGAATAGAAGGCAAAGATTCAAAATGCACAGCTTTTGAAAACGAAAGAAAATGACAACAACTGAATTGAAAAGGCTGAACTTAGCATTACCTTCCCAGAACACAAACATATATTTAGCTTAATAGACTTGAGTACTATCTCAGGAAAAATCTTACCGTATATATTATGCATCTTGGGCGATGAAAGCTGTAGAAATGATTTTGCAAAGCAAACACACTGCAGGCTGACAGTAGCAGAGATTAAAAAAAACAAGTCCAAGGCACACGTAATAAATTTAGGTCTCATTTCTTATATATCATCACAGGAGGAAAACTAAGAGCTGAAGAAACCTCAGATACAAATAGAACCTGGCAGAACGACACATGCGATTGAAGCTTAAAAAAATGCATGTGTTTTTTCTGATTATAACTGTAATATAGATTTATACTAGAAAATTTGAAAAAGAAAAAGAAAAAATTAAAATTACCCACACAAAAAAAATCCCACAACCCAGAGAGAACCATTATCAAAATATTGGCATGTTCATTTGCATCCCTTTTTCTATGTACATATAAAAATGTAATTGTTTAATAAAATTGGGCTCTCATTTAAAGAAAATATTAATCCTCACCACTTCCTATCACTTCTTTGAATACACTCTCATGTTGTTATATATTCTTTTAAGATGTAATATGAATGATCCATTATACTGGATCTTAAGAATTTAAACAGAATTATTTGATGCTTTCCATATTACTGGACCTCTAGGTGGTTTCTAATTTTTCAGATTCATAGATAGCACTGCATTGGACTTTCTTGTGATGAACCTTTATTTACTTTTTAGGAGAAACTAAAATGTATATCAATGTGTCAAATTCAAATTTAAATTTAAATAACCCAATGTACCCATACCTATACATTTACCATCGGAAGTCTCTAGAGACAAGTACAAATAATGCATAACAAATAAACAATACTATTTTCATACCACTCAAAGTCTACCTTTATCCCTCTGGGCAGTCAGTCATCTTTCAGGCAGCACAATAGTTCCTCTAGGAAAATGGTCTATATCACTGGGCTAATCTAAATGTAATAACGTGTTTTTTTGTTTTTTTGTTTTTTGAGTTCTTACTATGTGCTGACACTGTGGCCAACATTTCTTTCTTTTTTCTTTCTTTCTTTCTTTCTTTCTTTCTTTCTTTCTTTCTTTCTTTCTTTCTTTCTTTTTATTTATTTATTTTTTTTGCCCCCCTCCCTCCCTCCCATGCATACCCTCCCCCGCAGAGTTTTATGTCCATTGGTTGTACTTATATGCATGTATACAAGTCCTTCGGTTGATCAATTATCTCCCCCAGATCTTGGCTGACCCAGATTTCTCCAATATCAGTGTGCATGCAATTACAATATTCTACAGATTGCAAAATACCCAAGACTCTCAAAAATACCTTATTATCCTTTCATTTAAAACAATATACAATGGGCATTAAAATGAAATAAATAAAGGATGATAGCCAATGGAGGTAGATAATAACCCACTCTTCTCTGAACATACACGTTCCATACAGTGTCACTTAAGGTTTTCTTCACATTCCAGCTTTATGCTGTCACTTCCAGTTATAGAACTCTTAAGTGCTCTTAACATATTGAAGTTATTAATGGTTCTTGTTTAGAATTATATGGTCTTAACATTCCAGTTTTAAATTCCTTATAGTCTATTTTTTTTTAAACGGTTCTATTTTCAAGATTTTAAATAGGGTTCTCACAAACACTAGTGTGTGTGAGTGTGTGTGTGTGTGTGTGTGTGTGTACATATAGACACATACCTGTAAAATGTTTTTCTCCCATTAATCAGAGAAAGGCAAAGTAAAATAAAACATAACAAAAATTCCATTTACATCACCGGTCACATGAACTATGAAATCATTCAAATTCTAAGGCTCTCTCAGACGAAGATAGCCTGGGCTGCCCTGTAACTTGTGTGGACTGTGTACACGGTACAACTCTAGGGGGTGCCATCGTACCCTGATCTCTGTGATGGGTACTTTCTAGGGTGGTCTGGTGCCCAACCTACATAGTTGTATGTGATGACCTTAAAATTAACTAAGGCAATAATGTTCACCCATCCATTACTATTGGGCATTCTTCCCACCTGGTGAGTTATGAAAAAGACAAGTTTGAGGTGGGAAGTGGCCTTTAAATCTATATACTTTTTAAAATAAAGAAAATGCTACAAAAATAAACACAATGACAGTTTCTCCATGGCTCTCCTGCATCCCTCCCGTATCCCCTTCCATCCACCCACTAGGAAGAGCGGGGTACCTTGTGTGAGTAACTGCAGGTTTCTGACTTCTTCCCGCACCTTCAGCTGGAGCACCTGTTGCAAGATGTGCTGCCGGAGGTTTTCCTGGGCAATCCCCATTCGCTCGAGCTTTTTGTCAGTAAGTCTCAGCAAAGCTCGCCCTGCAGGGGTTCAGGAAATACAAGGAGAAGCACATAATCAAGGGCTGGAGAAGGATTTCCATCCTAGCCTTGGCTAATTCTTCATACCAGAAGTTTCCATCTAAACACGCACTTTTCAGAATACAGGATTCCCCCATGATTCTGGTGACAGGAATGGATAATCCGGATGGAAAAAAAAATCCACACATTTAAAAAAAAGAAGCCACATTAAAAAACACACACACATTTTGATTAATTTCAGAGAGGAAAAGAGAGGGAGAGATAGAAACATCAATGATGAGAGAGAATCACCAATCGGCCACCTCCTGCATGCCCCACACTGGGGATCAATCAAGCCTGCAACCATGACCAAGAATCGAACCATGACCTCTTGGTTCATAGGTCGATGCTCAACCTGAGCCATGCTGGCTGGGCCAGAAGCCCAATTTTTATCTAGTATTGGCAATCCCCAACTGACCCACATGTTGAGTGAAATAGAACAGCGACATTTTAACCTGGTTATTTGGGTCACAGATTGCAAGTTTCCATAGAAACAGTGCTGTTCGCTGGATGATGGGTTCTGAGGCTGGCCCATAGGAGCCTATGTTACTGCCAATTCAGCTGAAGACCTGGATACTGTGATTGGGGTTAGAGAGAAACTCCAAGACGTTTAATGCAGGTTACAATAACGTTTCTGTGAAATATGTATTTAGAGTCCCAGTTTTAATCTGCAGCATGAGCTCCCTTGCTACACCCCTAGTGCTGGGCCAGGTTCCATATACAGCTGGTGGTAGCTAAGGCTTCCTCTCAATCACTAACCCAAAGGGTGAGGGTGAGGGAGAGGGAGTGAGAGATTCCAGAGTGCAAAATAAGGAGCCTCATTGTGTGCATTCCTGCAGTGTGCAGATACTCCAAACCCTAGGTAATGCAGCATGGTTTCCTTTCAGCTCTTTCTTTCCCTGGAACGTCAGCGGGCTTCTGCAGCGGGTCTTCAACAAATTCTCAAATTCTCTCCTCTCTGTGCTTGCCTTGAAATAAGCATAGGTAGGTCTACTGTGAAAGCTGAGAGCAAGAAATACAAAGAATGATGGTTGTTAAAGGCCCACAGCACCACCCTGTGCACTTGCCCCCTACACCTCCAGTCATCACACTGCAGATCTTTCCTCAATTGATGAAGAGGCAACTACGTATAATCAATGGTGAGTCTTCGGGGATCACAGCATATACATTTCAAAAGAAAAATGGTCTACCTCTTCAAAAAGCAAAATAGCCAGAAGGTGGGATTAATGGGCACACTGAGAATCGTATAGACAAAATCTGATTCACTATTTTCTTTGAATGGTTTCTATAGTGCCACCCAGGTCCATGATTCTGACAAATCTATATATAGAAAAAGCTAGCTATTGTAATGGCCATAACGACGGCAACAACCGGTCCCTATGATACCCACTGTGGCCAGCAAACCAGCCCGATCAGGAAGTGAGGCCAAGAGGTTGGCCGGCTTGCCCTTGATCAGACTCTCCCACCCTGATCAAGAGCAGGGTCCGCCAAACACTCTCTTATTAGCCATGCCCCCAATCCACTCACCCTACCACTATAGGCTTGCAGCCCCTCCCCCAAGCTGGCCCGCCCCTGATTGCCATGCTCAGATTGGCCCCCACCACCCTGATTGACCCGTAGCCCCTCCTCCTGGCCAGCCCCACCCCAGATTGGCCCCCCTACCCCAATCAGAGGCAAAGCCAGCTGGCCAACCACCCATGGACCCTCACCCAGGTTGCTGGCCCCTGATCAGTACTCCCACCCATCCCATTTGGAAGCAGGGCCGGCCAGCCCACCTCCCACAGTCCCTCCCCATGACCCCAATTGGGGACAGAGCCTGCCAGACAATTGCCCACTGCCCAGCCCTGATCAGGGACTCTGATCTGGCCTCAATCAGGGCAGGCAGGCTGGCTAACCTCCCGCTCCAATCCACCCTGATTGGAGCTGGGCCGGCTGGACCCCACCAGTGCATGAATTCGTGCACTGGGCCTCTAGTCCTAACAATAATTAAATCACTTCTAGGAGCCAATGTCCCATCAATCTCTTAGCCCACCCTCACTGTTGACCATAACCTAAGAGTAACCCAATTAAGTGTGGTGCTGCTTTAGATCACGACTGATAGGTAGTAAATAGCATCCTTTTTTCCCCCTTTCAATTCATATTGTCACTTTTTGTAGCTTATCATAAAAATCCAATTGTTAATTCAACAAACATTTATTGAGCATTTACTATGTCCCAAGTTAACTTGGTGTGCTTTGCTGTCTGCTGCCTACACAGAATGAAATGCGGGAGGGAAAAGTCAACTCAATATCAAAAGAGCAGCACCAACTAAATGTCCTGAGACCTTACACCACTATGCAGGTGATGTAGTCTGCAGGGCCATTCATAGGTGCCTAGGTTCCTGCAATTGAAAGAAGCTTCAAATCCTTCCCATAGATTGTATTCCTGGCCTTTTACTTCTTTTCTTTTTCAAATCAAAACCAGAAGTGATGATGTCTTGGACTCAAGTGGAAGTGAAGAAATAGAAAGAAGAAGTAGAATTTATGGGTATATTTTTAATAACATTGGGGTGCTTAGAGATAGGGTATGAAGGAACAACAAACATCAGAAATGACTCAGGTTGTCCACCTGAGCCCCCCATGGCAGAGGGTACCATTTCAGCACAGGACATTGAGATACTGCTCCGAGATAGGATGTGTGGGAGGGAGGAAATTCTTTTAGTGTTTCTGCTATTTTTTTTTTCTTTTTCTTTTGAGAGCACTTTGGATCTGGAGAAATGATGAAAAGGATAGAATGAAAGAAAGGAGGACAATTAGAATATTCTTATCTCTTCCCCATAGTGTTTTCCCCCCTTCTAATATGTTTTTATTGATTTTAGAAAGAAAGAGGAAGGGAGAGGAAGAGAGAGAAACTCGATGAGAGGAAAACTTTGATAACTGCCTCCTGCACACCCTTCACCAGGAATCGAGCCTGCAACATTGGGCATGTGCTTTGACTGGGAATTGAACTGTTGACCTCCCAGTCCATAGGATGATGTCCAATCAACTGAGCCACACAGTTAAGGGCATCCCATAGTATTTTTATTCCTTCAGCCTTCTACTCAAAGCCCAGAGCATGGGCATAACTGGTGAAATGTAGAGAAATCAGAAGAGTCTCTTATGAGCCAAGCTCTGTATTGTTTGGCCCCAAGAGAGTTCTTGTGTGCTAAAAATATTTCCCAGGACTCCTTATAGAAGTTCAAGCAAGGGAATATGAGGAAGTTCACCCAGCAGAGACATGGTGAACAATCTTGGAAAATTAGAATTTTGCTGCAACTGAAGCTTGAGTACATACATATAAGCTTCACTGTGTGTGACTCACCCACTGCCAGCTCCACTAGAATGAGTACTTTTCCTGTCAGGTGTCCTCTTGTCCCAGGTTCCCTATTGTTGCCTATGGCTGGCACAGGGTAATGCTCAAGAAATATTTATTGAATGAATATACTTGCTGCTAAATGAATGTTGTCTTGGTTACTCACAAACCAATGACCTCAAGATCATTAAATTATTGTATTTTCTGATGCAAGGTACTCCACTGGAAACTGACTCTTAGATAGGACAACAACAATGAGAAATTGGATGTGGCAGAGGGAGGAAGCTGCGTTGTGTTGGTGGCAACCACAGAAAACACGTACCAAGTAAAGAAACAGAGAATTTGAGACTAAATGAGCCCTCTGCCTTTTTGCAGGCTTAAAGAAAGACACGTGTCTTGCTCTGTTTTGGAGCAGGCATCAAGTGTGACTACAAGCCTTGCTGGATCTATGGGCATGGAGAACAGGTGAGAGACAATTGACTCAGAAGGCAGTTCCTTCATTTCCTCCAGTTGCCATAACAAATTACAAACATGGCAGCTTAAACAACAGACATTTATTCCATAGAGTTCTGGAAGCCAGAGCTCAACATCAGTTTCATTGGGCTGAAATCAAGGAGTTGGAGGTACCACACTCCCCCTGGAGGCTGGAGGGAATCTTCCCTTTTGCTGGCTACCACATTCCTTTGTGACCACGTCCTCTCATCTCCATCTCTATCTTTACCTTCTCCTGTGGTGTTTAATGGCACCCTGCCCCTCTCTTAAAAAGACACTTGGGATTTGATGTAGGACCTGCTTAAATAATACAGGATAATCTCCTCACATTAAGATCCTTAACCATGAAAAACAAAGACTCCTTTTCTTTGTAAGGTAACATTTACAGGTTCCAGACATGAGGACCAGATATTTCTGGGTGGCCATTATTCAGTCTACCACAAGCTGGAGGGAATCTCAGATTTCTGAGTGTGGTCCAGGATTCATAGCATCCACACAGAGAACTGAGGTTCAGGAAAAGGGACTCGTCTAAAACCACTCAGGAAATAAGGGGAAGATTTAGGTCTAGATCTCCAGGTCCAATCTGGCCTTTAGTCTCTAGTTTAGGTGCCCCCCATCGTCTGCTCAGAGACCTGTAGTAGTTTTTACTTCTAAAGTGCTGTGCAACTTTCTTGCTTATCAAGTCCATTTTTTTATTCCGCCTCCTCCTGCAATGAAGATGTCCAAGAGCAGGACTTCACTGAAGTTTCCATGCACCTGGCTGGGGCTGACTCCATGCTGCCACTACATAAATACAGCATTTGTTAAATGAATGCTGGGTGTGTGACCCACACAGGGCAAATAAAATATCTTACTAGAATTGCTATGGTTTCTCAGAGAGACATTGTATTTCTTAGATCATATCTCCAAGGACAATATAAGCCTAGACTTGCTGTCAATGACTGTTTTGCTACCATATGGAGAGATTTTGCTAGAGATTTAAGACAATAGAGAGACAGAAAGAGAAAAAGGGGGGTGAGAGAAGTAAAGCAGAGAGAAAGGGAGTAAGATAAGAAGACATTTCATTTCCTGGGTAGAGTCTTGCCTAAAGTCAGATACCCCTGGGTTTCTCATTGATGAACGGCAACGTTGTGGGGAGG